GGCTGTTAGCTGAAATTCCTCTGTGCAAAACTGTGGAAGAGAAAAACGAGCCAATATTTAACATTTCTTTAAATTAAAATGAATTTGGAATTAAAGATAGAAATAGTTTGGAAAGTATTTTAAATAGATTTAAAAATAAAAATATTTTTATAATTTAAAATTAAATCTAAATTTAAATTTCGTAATTCGATTTTATTATTTTTAATTATTTTTAATTTTTAAATATAAATTTAATAAAATAAAAATTTAATAAAATTTAATATATATAGTAAAGTAATTATAAAATAATTATATATTTGTTTTAAAGAAATATTTTACAAAATGATCATTAATATTTTCAATATTAGGAATAATGTTATTTATCAATTATATTTATTTAAATCAATTTCATAAATTTTAAATTTTAAATTCCCTTCTTTGAAATATTTTATATTATATTTTACAAAAAATTTTTTCAATTGAATAATAAAAAATTATTATTATCAGGAACAACTATTGAAGATACGGCAGTAACGCCCACCCCGTCGTTGACGCCATCGGCAGCAGCAGGAGGCCAAAGAACTGGGATCAGAGTCGTAGGTGGTGTGAGTGATCCTGCAATAGACGAGCATTTCAAACGATCCTTAGGTCTGGAAGAGTACGCTGCAGTTTTCAACGCCACCTCTACGGATAAAGAAGCTGGTCTCAGTGGTACATTATTAAAAAATATTCCTTTATGGAAAAGAATTTGTTTTATTTAAAAAAAATTTATATTTTTGAAATAAATTTCCATTTTTAGTGGATGATCATTTTGCAAAAGCTCTTGGAGAAACTTGGACGAGGCTGCAGGCCACTAGCAGAAACAAGGACTCAATCTAACTGCTGGACAGTTAACCAAAAATCCGTATTATTATTGCGTCGTTGCCGTTTTCTTCATTGTGACATCTAATGTGACACCTGTTTAATTAATCCACAAAGCAATATGAAATTGCTACTAATATTTGTGGAAGACACATAAGTGGGAGCAAGCAACGAACTCTTTATTATTAATATTATTATTATTATTACTATTATTATTTGGCTCGCATGGGACGCAGATGCAGACCTAAGTGTCCTTCAATTATCACAGATACTCTTAGGTGTCGATCGATGATATATCGTGATCTGTGCACACGATTTTTTTAACTCCTTGCGACAATTGTATTCGAAATATTGTATATATAGACGCGTATTCTTTTAATCATGCCATCATCGTGGCCCTAGAGGTCTCAAATTATTTATTATACGATGTACCATACTGCCTCGCTAAATAGTAGATCTGTTCATTCTTTTTATCTTCTTTTTTGCTGTGGTAAGATATTAAAAAAAAAAATAATATATTTATATATCTGTACCAATATTTTGATTTTGATTTTTTTATTTTATTTGATAATGTAATAAAAGAAAAAAATTAATTGTTCATTCTTTAATGAAAAATTTATATATATTGATTAAGGTAACACGGAGAATTGCGAACAAAAGCATTTTATTTTTTTTAACTTTCAGATTAGAAATAGAAAATATTGGAATATCAAATTTAATTCGTTATAGATCAATATAGAATTCAAATTACCGCAGCTATTGAAAGAAAAAGTATGATGAACGGAACGACTTGTTTGTAATTAATTATTATAATTTGTTTAAATGTATTACATATATGTATATATGTATTACGTATATAAATATATATATTGTATATATTATATATTGTATATTACAATACATATATATAGTTAATACGTAATTATAGAAGACCGAAAGAAAATCTTTATAAAGAATGTAAAGGATATATAATAAGCGCGAAACTGTATGAACTGATCGTTGCACAAACTTGTAACACGTGTTCACTTCGTGTGTATCTATATATATATAATATTATAATAGTATATATATAACAATATTATAGTATATATATATTTATACACGTCATATTAAAGAGAAGAGAAGAAAAGAATGAAAGAGGATACATAAGAAGATTATTGATAATATTTTTAATACCAATTTCGCCGTTGAAGATCCGTATCCTTCCTTCCTCAGTAGATTCCCAATGGTTGATGATGAAGATTGCTAAGAAGAGTAGTACTGATTTCAAATGGTGCTAGGAGATTTAGCACAAACCCCAGCACGCATAGAAGTCAGTACCTCTATCTTCTTATTGACTTTAAATTCTCTTCACTTCTTTTTATCTTCAAATCCTTGATTTTCAATATCTTCTAAAATTAAACATTGTCGTCCACAATTCTTAATGTAAAATTGAGATAAATGTTACACTTCGAGTAGAAGATCAAGAAGATCAATTTTTCTTTCAGAGCCGCACTTTCTTTGAATTAAGAAACTTATAGAAGTTTTATATCCTCCATTGACGAGGGAAAACTACTAAAACTAATGAAGAAGACATCACTTTTCAAGACAAAAATATCCACTTAAAAATATTCCTACTCCAATTTCCATTTATACAAATTAATCAAGTAAAAATCACTTTTAATCCAACAATAATTAATATCATATTAATCAACAATTCCACTCCACAAATGTATTTCTTCTAGTTCCAGTAACATAATGTACTCCTCCTTCAGAAAGGTATTTCCTGTTCGAGTTCTTCATTCAAAAAGTTTGAAGAAGTTGGAAGTTCTGGTGACACTTTTTTTGGACATAACGAGAAGAATGATGGGAAGAAAGAGTGAGGCTTTATGTGTCGTAGGTGGGCCCAGACCTAACCCAGACTGTCCCAAGAGCGCTCGGATGGCTTCCTATATGCAGGCAGCCTGTTCACTTGCCGTAAAGCAAAATGGTAACTTAATATTAGACTTGAATATAAGTACGGTAATCCCACACCAGAGTCCAAAGTAAGCCTACACCTACTCGGCCGGCCATCCCTGGACCTCAGTTCCCCCTTACGAACGCCCTCGAGCGTAATAATACGACGGGATACTAGATATCGGTACTCTCTGTGCTTCTAGGTGCAAATTGCGACCACCTATGCATCGTCGTCCCTGTTTCTCCATTTCCAGCCTGTACCTGCGTCTCTCTTCCTGTCAGCAAGCTCCTTCTAGCCTGTCGTTCGGGAAGACGACTCTGTTCTCTTACTGGTCAGACTTACTGAAAAGGCGACTACGTTGGATTATAACATCTATTTAAGTGGATCTTTAGCATTAAGATGGTTTTAAATTTATGATATTTATTCGTTAAGAGATTGGTGAAAATGAAGAAATGTGCAATCTCGATAGGATTTTTGAAAGGATGTTCGAAGATTCTTTTAATTCGTTAATGAAGATGGATGTTAGTTAGTTCAAGTTGTACTATTATAATTTTATATTTTCATATCCTGCAATGGATATACAAAGAAAAATGGTAAGGCGAGAATCGAGAATATTTGCCTAAGACTAATTTTAAAGTATCCAAGTAATAAATCTAGCGATAAAAACAAATAATTAAAAAATTTATTTAGAAAGAAACTTCGTACTTTTTCTATGTTCTTTTTGTCTTATTAATGATATATAACATCCGTGACGCGGAATTGCAGAAATACGATCCCGTTTTTCAATGTTTTTTTCAGACAAATGCCGCTGTGAGCGCTCCCCGAAGTGCGACGACCTTCGCGCTGCGAAGAACTAGGATAAACCAGTGGTCTACGTATCTCTTTGGACGTAGAGTAAGCTAATCCGGTTGCGGATCATGTTTGCAGCCCCTTTAAATGATACTGATACGCCTTAGTCGCGAAAGTCGCATGTTCCGAGATCCAGACAGTTTCTTCATCTGTTCATTTAGGAATTCTGATCGAACCAATTTAACAATTTATCTAATTGTGCTTAAGCAAGTTCATCATAAGTTGATGAAAAGATTAAGAATTTTAATTCTATAATAAAAGAATATTATCTTCTTCTAATGGTAAACTTTTAATTTTATTATCGTTATTTGTTTGTGTCATGACATGTGTGCAGATTAATTTTTAATGATAATTAAAGATTTTAATGATAAGATTAAAGATTTTGGATGAGATGACTATTCGATTACACTTTTGGGAAATTTTGAGAATTAATCAGTCTTTGAGGGTGAAATGTAATTGAAAATAAGCCATTAAACCTCGGGCAGATGCTCGTCGAAGTTATTTCCCCGTGCACGCAGGTGTTTCTACGATTGTCCCTAGTAGTTCTACCCTCCTATTAGACACGAAACACATTCCCCAGCATTGACTTTGTGATTCCATCCTTGTTAAATGCTATAATTTCTCTCTCTCGTATTATTTGAAAATTACGAAATTAAAATTGAATTATTAATATCCTAAAATATTTCTTTCGTCTATTTTTATGAACTTGAAAGTTTTTAATATTTGGATTGAATTCTTAATGGATCGTCAAAGATTCGGAAGAAAAATAATTTCTTTTATACCGAAAAATGTTTTAAATATAAATTAAAAATTATTCGATAATAAAAATTAGGAAAAAAAAATTTATTGTTTAAAAGATTATTTTTATATTATAATAAGTAATATATATGATCTTTTTAAAAGACATTATATTTTAAAATAGAAAAGTGAATCGAATTCGTAACGCGCGCCGTTGTGTGCGCAACGATTCTTCGGATGGATCAACAATCACCCCATACAGATGGTCTCCCCCGTAGAAAGAGGCTCTGCCATTACGCTCTAGCTCGAGATAGGTATCGATTTAAATTTCTATCTCGCCCTCGATCGAATCGCGTTCCAAAAATTTTCTTTATATCGTTCATTTCAATTAACGTTCCCGAAAATTAATTAAAATTATTGCAATCGAATTTTTTTTTTTTCAGAAGAAGAGGCGTGGTACAGAATCTAGTTTGATCTTATAATAGAATCGATAGTGGATCGACTAACTTTTCTATTCGGTTCGTGGCATATTACTGTTTGTTTATTTTAAGTCCCAGGCGTATCTTGTTTCGGAACCAGACCCAGCTGACCGCAGCCTGGCATCGTTTTCTCGTTTTATTCTCTTGCGTTACGCATCGACCTGGTGTCGGTGGTGCGAATTAAGCGAGAAAAATCGACGCCGTGAAGCGGATGCACGCAATTTCCAGAACGATCGATTCGGTTTTTTGGAATAATGATATTAATTTGACGATATTCTAGCCAATTAAATTTATGTATTTTAATGCAATTCTATCTCTTCTTTTTAGCAATTCATGATAGAAATTTGGGGAATTTGAATCTTTTGTAAACTTAATACATGAGAATTTTTTAATTTGTGAGAAAGAATTAAGGATCCGAAAAGAAATTTGATAAAGTTGTTTTAACCGAAAAGAAATTTGATATAGTTGTTTTAATTAAAAAGAATAATTTTTGAATCTTTAGCAACAGGTAAGATTAAAAATAATTAACATTGTAATTATGAAATTAATGGAATTAATGAGTGATGTTGATGGTGAATGACTTTACAAACGAATAATAATAATAGTTTTAGACGCGCCAAGAGACCACGCTGCTAGCCTTGCATCGAAATCCCCAAGCCACCCTAACGCGAAGAAAGAAGCGATGCAGTCACATATTCCGCTCACGGATTTCTTTTTCTAAATCAAATCATTCAATTTTACATATAAAAAATATAAATTGGAAAAGTTAAAACTGAATTGAAAAAAAAATTAATTTACCAGAAATAATTATCATTCTGATTAAAGTAAATTTCAATTTTTATATATTTATTATTAATTTAGAAAGTTTTTCAATATAAATTTCAAAAAATAAAATAAAAAATAAATATATATATAAAGATTATCAAATATCGTATTAATTTGAAATCGGAAAAAATCATTGGTCCATCGTTATGAAACAATAAAAAAAGCCATCATATCATCCGTTGATTTCATAAATTTAAAAATCTCTTTACCTGTTACCAAAATTGATGATATCCCACAGGATGTCCTTCCTGTCAATGATGCCTTACAAGAACGACGCAAAAGACATCCCATCGCTTCTCTAACATAGGCGGTCACCACTATAAACACCAGTACACTGGAGATACTTCGATCCTCCGAATATATCGATATATCAGTTCTCAAAATCGAATCACAAACGCGGGATCATCAGCGATCGCGCACTGGAGTCTAGCATCTTAGCGAGTCGACGCCGACGCATTCGATGAAAATCCTCACTACCCCTTCCCTTCCCCCCTCCCTCCCCCTCTCGGTGTTATAACTCGCATAGATCCCGGAAATGTCATAAGGAAAAGCAACGAGCGAAAATGAAGGCAATGGAAATAAATTGGAAGAACGGGAAGACACAAGAATTGCGACGAGGAGAGCCATGAAGGTTCGCAACGAGCATGGGACTCTGGACACGACTGATCGAGTGACCGAGGGGGTAGCATTGTAAGAATACCCCTCCTCGTACGCTTGTATAGAATTACGTGTGTTGATC